GTATGTGATTTAAGATGTAGTAGTATTTCTTTTACAAACTTGGGTGTCCTTGTCTTTAGGGCATAGATGTTAAGAACTGATATCTCATATTGGTGGATTTTCCCCTTGATTAGTAGTAATATCCTTCTCTATCTTTACTGGTTAGTCTGTTTTTTTTTTTTTTAGATACTAAAATGTCTACACCTGCTTACTTTGTAGGTTCATTTGCTTGAAATATCTTTTTCCATCATTTTACCCTTAGGTGAGGTCTGCCCTTAGTGTTAAGGTGTGTTTGTTGGACGTAACAGGAGAATGGGTCCTGTTTTTCTATCTGTCCCATTAGTCTGTGTCTCTTGGCAGAGGGTAGGGTAGGGATGGTTTGAAACCTTTGATACGGAAAGTTTTTAAAGAGCAGCGTATGTTGATTCCTGTTATTTGTTGTGATGTGTCTCCCCCACCTTTTGATTTGCTATTCTGAAATTATTTCATCCCATGTTTTCTTGGGCTTGGTTACCTTCTTTAGCCTGAAGTTTTACTTCTAGCTCCTGTAGGGCTGGATTGATAGATAGACACTGCTTAAATTTGGTTTTATCTTGGAATGCCTTTCTTTCTCTATCTATTGTGATTGAACATTTTGCTGACTATAATGATCTGATCTGGTCTCTGTGGTCTCTTAGAGTGTAGAACATCTGTCCAGAAGGTAGTGAGATGTCAGTTCTAGAACTTTGGAAGTTACTTACAATGCATGTCCTGTTAATTTAGGTAATATTATATCTTTCTGGGGTCTTTGAAGAGTTGAATACAAATAGTTATAGTTAGAATTTTTCTTTTTTTTTGTTTTTTTTTTCTCTGTAGTTTTGGAGCCTCTCCTAGAACTAGCTCTTGTAGACCAGGCTGGCTTCGAACTCACAGAGATCCTCCTGCCTCTGCAGTTTTCCTCAGTTATGATAAAAGATAAATTATATATAAAACATTAGACTCACAAAAAATATTGTAACTGTAATTCTTGCTTGGTATCTATTCTGTTATATATAATTTTACTATGTTAAAGTTAAATCCTTTTTATTTAAAGAGAAAAGGGGAAATGATGTGGGATGCCCTTCTATATATATGTTGCTTTTATTAGTTGATGAATATAGCTGTTTTTGCCCATGACTTAGCAGAGAAAAGCCAGGTGGGTTAGCTGAACAGAAATATGTATAGAGAGTAGGCAGAGTCAAGGAGACACCATGTAGCTGCCAAAGGAAATAGATGCAAGAAACTTACTGGTAGGCCACAGCTTCGTGGTGATACACAATTAGTAGAAATGGGTTAATTTAGGATATAGTAGCTAGTTAGGGATACACTTAAGCTATTGACCAAACAGTGTTGTAATTAATATAGTTTCTGTGTGATTATTTGGGACTGGGTGGCCGGGAAATGAGGGAGCAATCTCCGTTTACACAGACCCTTCTGACTTTTGGAGTCTCACCTGAGAAGTTTGGTGTTACCCTAATAGGTCTTTATATTTGGCTTGGTCCTTTTCCCTTGCACCCTTTTAAAATTATTATACAGATCTTGCCTCAAGTTTATTTGTAAAGGTAGCATAGGGCACTGGCCTCCTAATATTTCTATTGTGTGTATTGATATACTATTGTGTGTATTGATATACTATTGTGTGTATTGATATACTATTGTGTGTATTGGTATACTATTGTGTGTAGGTGTGTCACATCAGTCTGTCTGTCTTCACACTGGCAAATGGAAACCTTTCTATGGGGCCTTCACAAAGAACTCAGACACCTTTGTGAGCCTGAGCTGGAGCTGAGGCCATTGCCTTGGTTTGAGCCTTGGGCTTTGTTTGACATAGTCTATGACCCTTGGCTGTGTAGTTTAGAATCTGCTTCCCAAACTTGGGGTGAGCAGTGAAAGCAAGAAGGCTAGGTTTGTGGTTGCACTTAACCACCTTGGGCTTCACAAGGGCCTTAATGGCCTCTGCATGTGCACTCAGTGCCTTCGTATTGTTTGCCTACTTCTTCAGACCTTTCCCGTTGTGCTTCATGGCAAAGCATATGTTCCTTGGGAACTTGGAGTCAAAACCCTTTCGAGTTTTCAGTTGACCTCAGCAGGTCTTTCCTGCTGGACCTGGGATCTGAGGACCTGAAAGAATGGGGCGGCTACAGTCTAATGCTGTAGACAGCCTTTCTTCTGTGTCAGTGCACTTTATGTACGTGAATGAAACAAAGAAAACGACAACCTAAGGAAGGTTGCTTGAGTTCAGAAAGACATGATCAGACAAACATGTAAATAAGCCCCAGTCAGCATGCACCTTAAGAGAATCCTATCTTTGTGGCAGGATTTCTTGATGCCGTTTTGGGACTGGTTGTATGTGGTGTGGTTCTTAGTCTTGGCCAAGTCTGCAGGGTAACCCATGGCTCCTGGGACCAGAAGAGAAAGAGAAAGGCCACCCCTTGCAACTTTTAATAGCCATTTCCCCCCAGTTGTTTTTGTTTGGTTTGTATGTTTTGTGTTTCAAGTAAATGCTGATGGAAAATTTTTTTCTGGTCCAGTCTATTTGGTGTTCTGTATGCTTCTTGTACCTTGATATGCTTGTCTTTCTTGTTGTTAGGAAATTTTCTTCTATAATTTTATTAAAAAAAGGTTTGTGTGTGTGTTTCTTTGACCTGGATTTCTTCCCCTTTCTCTCTTCCTATTATTTGTAGATTTCATCTTTTTATTGTGCCCCAGGATTCCTGGGTGTTTTTTGACTGTATTTGGAGGAGGGGGCAGGGAGTAGAGGAGATTTGTAGTTGGCACACTTGCTTCTCTGTCAGGTGTGACCTGAGGAACAAATGACTTTAGATGAATACTGAGTAGAGAAACCATGGCAGGAAACACATGTTACACTGAATTGTTTAAAAGCTGTAATATGAAGGATTATTATTGTATTTTTTTTTAAATAAGGCATAGTTGAATTGCTATCTAAAAACTAGGGCTTGATTTTCACATCCATAAATGATTTCAGAGGTATCACGAATATGTGCAGAGTTTTCTAGGTTCCCACACAAAGCATCAACATGCCTACTGTGAGCCTGTCCAATGTTTGCTCGCAGGCTAATTCCTTGTCAAACTGGGTCCTAAACCTTTGGGCACCTTAGGCCCTGGACTTCTCTGTTCTTTGTGGTCTCTATTGTGTTTCCCATGCCCCTGCATTCTTTCATGGTTTCCCTTATCTCCCTGAAGCCAGGAGGAGGATTCGTGAATCCTGGAATTACTGAGCATGCTGTTACTCTGCCCTTACACTTGGCCTCCTTCCTTCTGCTTGAAAAGCCTTCACCGTCTCACTTGCAGGGTCTGTATTGAGGAGTTTGGTGACACTTGTAGATGGTCCTCTTGTGTCTTATCTCTTTGTCTTCTTGGAAACACCTTTTTCTTTTTTTTTTTTTTTTTTCTATTCCTATCCTTGAGTTTCACGGGAAACTGAAGTGTGGCTTCCTCATCTCCTGCGTCATCCCACCTTCAATCAGAAGACTCAAGTCTGCAGAAGGGGAGCTATTTTGCTAATATTGTAAGAAATGTTCCCTTTTCTTTGTTTTGGGAGCTGCCTGATTCAGGCTGGTGCTGTGGTATTTTTTCCTCCTTTTAGCTCTTCATTTGTCTTTTTATTCTAGTTTCCAGAAAATTTTCTTACACTGTTCTCTGTCTTATCATGTTTTGAGATTTTTTCCCCCCTCATCTTCTAGAATTTCTGAAAACTCTTCTCCCCCACCCCAAAATGTTTTTATTGTGGTGGTGGCTCTTGGACTATAGAGTTTGTGTGGAGGTCGGAGGGTAGCTTTGTGGATTCAGTTCTCTAGCCAACAGTGTATGATTCCAGGAACTGAACTAAGGTTCCCACACACTATCTCCTTCCCTCTTTCTTGTTTTCCAATAGTTACTTTTTAAAGTTTAGCTTGTTAGCACACTCTTTTATTCATTGCCTGGAGGGACAAAGGCTCTTTAAAATTCTCTTCTGTGGCATAGTCTGTTTTTTCCATTTGTTTATTATAAACATACATTTGTCTTCATGTGTCTCGTGCTTCAGCTATTTAAAAACCACCATTACTGTGTATAAGTAAAGTGAAGAAGTGTGGGCATGTGCCTGTCATCAGAGGGCAGCTTTCTGGGGAGTCACTTCTGTTCCTTCTTACGTGGGTTCCAGGAGTTGAGTTCATACTATCATGCTTGCATGGAAAATGCTTTAAGTGGGCACTGAGCTATCTCATTGACCCTAGGCTGTTCATTTGTATTGAAAGAGAAAGTGATAAACTGAATTAGAAAATAAGTGTAGTCTAAATAGTAAGACTCTGCTTGAAAATAAGTAAATAAATAATAAGAGCAAATAACAAGCAAATACATAAGTAAAGAATAGTTTTACATAGCAAAATAAATTTTAAAACCTAATTGGTTTTGTCATTGAAAATGTTTTGTATGCATGTTTTTAGAGTAGGCCTTATTTTCAATGATGGTTACATAGTTTCTGAAGAATTAATTGTATAAATGGTTCTGTTGCATTATGTATCAACTGGGAAATATTTATAAAGAGATTCAAATGTGTGCTGTATACTGTATAAGTCAATGATAGACCACTCTACAGTAGTGGCCCTGTGACATTGCCAACATCTTAATTTATATAAATTTACTTTGGGACACTCACATGAAGGACACATTTCTTAAGGTCTCACTTCTCTTCAGTAAAGTGACATGTGGCTGCAGTTGGACATAGATTTATAGTTAGCTTGTGGATACCCTTTTGCAGTGCTTGCTTTGACACAGGATTAAGTCCTTTTGCAGATGCCACTGACTTAAGGTGGAAGCATATATAACTAATATTACTATAATAATAGTCATGCATTTTCTGGAATTAGTAAAGAAAACATGGGCTAAGTTCTTTTCTCCAGGATCAACGTGTTTTAAAGAATATCAATTCAGTTTTCATTTTCCTGCTTATTTATTAGTCATAAACTCCAGGTGTTTTACATACCCATAAATTCTCCTTCCAGTTATTTGCCGTGGTTTGAAGTGTACTATAAGCTTCTCAACACTCTGGCCGATTACTTGGCGAAGGAACTGGTAAGCTGACTTTTTTTCTATTGCTTTATTGTGTTTAAATATACATAGCATAGAAGGAGCAGTGTTGTCATTTCAAAGATTATAATTTTTTTTATCACACACATTGTTTTTAATCACCAATACAACATACCCGAACAAACCCAAGTACTTCACTCATTAAAACATAGTTTGCCATTTACTTTTCTTCTCTTCCTTGGCACCTGCCACGATATCTATATTTGCCTTCTTAACAGAAGGGCCCCACACAGGTGGACCCACCAATGTTTGTCCTTGCTTATTTCTTTTAATGTAATATGTTCAAGGTTCCACTGCTGTGCCGCCTCCTAGAATCCTCTACCTTTTAAAAGCTGGTGGATCGTTGATTGCATGAGTTACACTACAAGTTATTCATTCATTCATCTTTTAGTGGACGTTTAAGCTGCATCTACCTTGTATGTATTGTGAGTAAGACATCTGAACAAAGATGGTTGTTCAGCTTCCTCTCTCATTAGACCCATTAATAGTTAGTGGTAGAGAGCTTTACCAGGCACATATAAAGCTCCAAGTTCAAACAAAACAGCCTGTTTTTGTAGTTACATTCAGTTGTTTTTAAGATATGTCTGGAGGTGTAAATACTGAAAATTGGGATAATTCTGTGTTTCATTATTTAAGGAAAGATCATACATGCTATTTTCTGCTGTTTTTTTTTACCATTTTACATTCCTATTAGTAATTCACAAGGATATTTTTAATTATTTGCTTCCTATGTATTTTAATTATTAAATGATTCTTTCTTTGTTTCAGGAAGATGATTTGAATGAAACTCTCAAATCACTCTATAACCACCCAGTACCGAAGGCAAACACGCCTGTCAACTTGAGTGTGGTATGTACTTTATACCTTCTTTTTGGAGACAATCCAGGATGCATTTGCCAAGTCACCCTGTTTTCAGGAAAATTGCAATGTTTGTGTTAGCCTTGCTTAGTGCTAATGTCAACTTGTGACATGGGGTGATTCATATAACTTGTATTGCATATTATTATAGCTGTTAAATTGAAGAAAAGCTAGTATGTGCTGACAGTAGGCAAATCTGTGGGAATATTTTGGTTGTAAGGAACACTGGATTTCAAAATGAAATCCATACATAATAAAATCATATACCCACATGTACACACACATACATGCACACATACTCAAAACCTCTCCTGAAATGAGGCATGCTTCAGAAGAGAAAGTTGCATAGTAACATGAAAAATGAAGATCCAGCTAAAATGTCCTGTCTTTCCTTACATGGGAACATACTTTCCAGGTTAGTTATGAAACCCTGGAATGTGACCAGCATTCGTGTGAGCAACAAGCTTATGGTGGCAATTTTCTGCTGAGACTTTCAGCGAACTTTGCCCCTTTTATATATTTAGGTTGATATGCCAGGATTTGTATTATGGGGACTTGTAAATATCCAAAGTTGTAGATAACGATGGAGGTTTCATTCATATCTTTTGTTAATTTTTTAAATAAAATAGATTTATTTAATGATACTTTCACCTTTTCTTGCAAATATGTTGTTTTTTTTCTTTTTCAAAAGAGAAGAAAAAATTAATAGGGGAAGAAAACCTTGGAGGAAATTCAGCTTTAATCTTTGTTCATATGAGGCTTTTTGAAGTTTTGAGTGATAATGAAATTGCTATTCTCATATTCTTTCTTTGGAAATAATGTCTTCATGCCTGTTATGCCCTGCACTGCACAGATAGCTGTGCTTTCTTCTTCCATCTCTGAAGTCCCAGTGTTTGCGCTCCCATCCAGTTTCTCGGCAGGTCTACTTAAAAGACCCCTCCTTCTAGTTCTGTCTTCTAAAGCCGTCAGAGTGAACACTTCCTTAAACTCTATTCTCTGTTTAAAAAATTGTAACACTTTACTTTGTAACTTAAAAAAATTTAGTGGTTCCCTAGGCATTGGGTATTCTAGGCCCCCACTCCATCATGGAGACCCCTGACCTTAAAATTTTGTTTTCATTTACATTTTTTATACACTGTATTTGATCAAATATTTCCTTCTCCCAACTCTTCCCAGATTCTCTCCCACCTTCCTACATTTCCAATTTTATGTACTTTCTGTCAGAAACAATAACAACAACAAAACCTGAACCAACCAACAAACAAATAGCACAAGTATAACAACCACAACGAACCCCAAACAAAACAAAAACTCCCAAAAGAAATCCATGGAGTTCATGTATGTTGGCCAACTACAGCTAGGCATGAGGACCACCCTAAAGGGTGGTTGGTGTACCCAGTGTCACTCCATTGGAGAAAACTAATTTTCTTCTTTCTGGTAGATATCAGTTGCAAATAGCTTCTTGGTTAGATGTGGGACTTCGAGTCCATTTCCCTCTCTCAGTGCTGGGTCTTATCTGGCTTGAACCTGTGCAGGCCTTGTGCATCCTGACACAGTCTCTGAGTTCATATGTCCATGAGTCATGCTGGGTATGGAAGACAGTGTTTCCTCGGAGTCATCCATCCATCATGTCTTACTGTACAATCTTTCTGCTTCCTCTGCCTCATAGACCCATGAGCATTGCAGGGAGGGCTTTGATAACTGCATTCCGTCTAGGACTGAGTGTTCCAAAGTCTCTCGTTTTATGCACATTGTCCAGTTGTAGGTCTCTGTGTCACTTTCCCACTTATTGCAAGAAGAATCTTCCTTGATGAGGGTCGAGTGAGGTTCTGATCTATGGTTATATCAATATGTCATTAGGAATTATTTTATTGCTAAGATCTTTTTGCAGAATAATAGTTTTAGGTTTTCCCTAAGGAAAACCATGCCATATGAGATGGATTCCTTCCTCACACTGCTAAAGTAGCCAAGAACCTTTAAACATTTTTTTGAGACAGAGTAGTGCCTTCTGGCTGTGAGCCTTACTGTGTTGCTTTGGCTGGCGTCCAATTTGTAATCCTTTTGTCTCAGCCTCCCAAGTAGCTACCATATCTGCCTGTAATCCCCATTTTATACAGACAGTTTCCAAATTTTTGGCTCAGACTTTCAGGGTCATCCTCTTAGCTTTACTTCAAGTTTTTCTTTCCTTTCTCACTATTTTATTCCACTCTTGTTGTGTGACATTTTATTCTTTTGTTTTTTGGGGAAGGCCTGACACCCAGCTCCCAAATAAATCACACACACAGAAGCTTGTTCTTAGTAATGAATGCCCAGCTTTAGCTTGGCTTGTGTCTTGCTAGCTTTTCTTATCTTAAATTATCCTGACTACCTTTTGCCTCTGTTTTTTTTTGTTTATTTGTTTGTTTGTTTGTTTGACACAGGTAGACCAGGCTGGCCTCGTACTCACAGAGATTCACCTGCCTCTGCCTTCCAAGTGCTGGGATTAAAGGTGTGTGCCACCACCGCCCATCTTTCCCTATTTCTATATCTCTTTCTTTTCCTTTCCTTTCCTTTCCTTTCCTTTCCCTTTCTTTCTTTCTTTCTTTCTTTCTTTCTTTCTTTCTTTCTTTCTTTCTTTCTCTGTGACTGGCTGGGTAGCTGACCTCTGATGTCCTCCTCTCCTGTTCTCTTGGTCATCGGTTTCCTTCTGTTTACACTCTTCCTGCCAGCCTTACCTATCCTTGCTCCCGCCTCACTATTGGGAGTTCATCTCTTTAGTGCACATCTGGTGTTTTAGACAGCAAAGAATCCCAGCTTCACAGAGTTAAACAAATGCAGCATACACAAAAGTCACACACCTGAAAATAATATTCCCCAGCACACTCTGTTCTTACTGTTTTGGTTAGAATTTTAAGTGAACACATCCTTTCTTTTTACTCCAAAGCCCGTTTGGAGTTTGGCTGACTTTAGAAGCTGCCCTGTTTCTGTGTATGAAGTTCTCATCACATGGTTGACCATGTTTGTTTTTTTCTCAAATCTTTGCTGCAAACTCCACAGTGCATAGAATCAAATTTTCACTGGAAACTATAGAATGAAAAGCCCAGGAGAACATGGAATTTTGAATACAAATTGAGAAGTCTTCAGCAGGCGTAGCTGTTGCTATCTAATAGTTTATTGGGAGCATGGAGGAAAAGGTCTGATCTGCTCCCCCAGACAGACTATTATGAAAGAGAAAGGAAATCAGTTGAGAACTAGAGAAAAGTCCAGGTAAGGAGGAACTCAAGACTCACAAGTCATTGAATTCCAAATAATGCAGAGACTGTTGTGGTTAGTCGGCATGTAGTAGAGAGGTAGGAGAAATGGAAGATATCAAAAGAGGCCTAGATTTTATGAAAAGAAGACATATTTTTTTAAAAAAAACTATTATATTTATAAAGCAATACTAATACTTAGTTCATGATTTATGTGCTCAATTAAAATATACATACTTAATAAATAATGGAAGCAGGTGTTGTAAGGTATTACTAAGCAGTAAAAATGTACTCTGGAGTTGGAGAGATGGCTCAGCAGGTAGAGGCCCTTTTGTAGAGGATTAGTTTTGTACCCAGCATCCAAGTCAGTGCCTCACAGCTGCCTGTAACTCTGGTACCAGGGGATTTGCTGCCCTCTTTTGAACTTCACAGGCACCCTCACACATGTGTATATATACACAAACACACATCATCATATGAATTTAAATAAATCTTCACAAAATGTACTGCATTTAGGTCTTATTTATTTAGTCTTCTTTTGTTTTGATATGGTACCCATGGCCCTGCCATGTACCACTGAGCTGTGCTCCAAGCTTTTATTTTATTTTTAATAGAATAGCTGTATTTGTTGATGGAGTATGCTATGATATCTCTCTGATTCTATGAGCTCAAGTTTTTTATTGCATATATGAGTGGAATCATGTGTCTATTTTTATTGCTTTATTTAGTGTAACATTCTCCAATTTAATCATATTATGACTAATGACAAAATTTCACTTTACTAGCTAGATAGTAGTTGCCATGTTTGTGCATGGGTATAAATAAAATTACCTTTAGAATGTATGTGTATTGGTGAAATGCAAGGTCGATTCCCTTGCCTGGCTATTGTGAGCAGTGTTTCCATGAACAAGGGGGCAGTGCCTCTGCAGTGAACATGCTATGCAGGTTCACTTGTGTCCTTCTTTTCGAGTGCACACCGAGTGGGGTTGCTGCATCAGTAGGATAATTTTATTTTTACCTTTTGGAGATGCTTCCATTTTGTTTCCCATATTTCATTTCCACCAGCGATGTATTGGTGTTCTCTTTACAGCTGCCTTGGTGCTTTCTACTTTTCATCTACTTGATCATATTTGTCGAACTGGAGTGTGTAAACAGAGGCTTCTTCTGTCCTGCCTAATCTTGAGGCCCTTTTAAAATTATCACTCAGAGGCTTAATATTAATTACAAACGGTTTGGCCTATTAGTTCAGGCTTATTATTAACTAGCTGTTACAACTAAATTAACCCCTTTCTATTAGTTTATATTTTACCATGACTCTCATGGCTTGCTACCTCACATCTTGCTTATCCAGCTGCTGCTGGCTTCTCTCTGACTCCACCTTTCTTCTCCCTTATCTTTGCTTGGATTTCCTGCTTGGTTCTGTTCTGCCCGGCTAATGGCCAATTCAGCTTCTTTTTTAACCAATGGTAATAAAACATATTCACAACATACAGAGGGGTTATTCTACAGCAGGAGTGAAGTAGCATATTGGAGCTTATATTTGCATTTCTCTAGTGCTTGGTGATGTGAAAACTTTTCTGTATACCTGTTGGATAGTTTTGTATTGATAGTCTATAATAGCTTCCAAATATTATGAAGCTGCTTTCAAGGTATAGTTATCTGATATACTAGTAAAATCCATTTATTGCTTTTGTATGAAGTTCAATAATAATTTATTTTGTAGTCAACAACAGATTACTGTGCACCTAGTCCTGTCCATTACTGATGGGCAGTTTGAAAACTAGAGCAGTTGTACTGAACTAGATTTGGAGATAATTTCATCTCACAGATTAAAATTGATAATCTTGGAAATCTTTATTGGAAGTCTTAGAAGTGATTATTGATCACTGGAATATTGCAGATTTTATGAAAGGTTAATATGTATATATTTTTGTTTGTTTTTTAAACTGTACTAAAAAAATCATTAAATATCCACTGCCTTTGTACTCACAGTGCAAAACTTTGTACAGAACATTTCCAGACTAGATTAGCAGGTCAGAATGTAGAATGTCCTGCAGAATGAATGCCACTCTAGTGCTTTCATTGTGTAATGTAGCAACAGGGGTTTGTCTCAGCACACAGGTAAGCTTCCCTTTGAAAGTAAAATGCTCATTTTTCTCTCATAAGAACCAAGAGCTATTTATTGCCAGTGAGCAAGTTCTGAAAGATCAACCCTCACTGATGCTGGTGAGTGACCAGGACCCTGCTTCTCAAATCACTGTTTGATTTTTTTCTGATTTATTCACTCTGGTTCTTTGGAAAATGGACTATTTAAAAATAATCATTTAGAATGTTTTCTGTTTGTACTTTCTTTTTTTTTCTTAATTTTATGAAACGGGATAATGTGAAGCACATTCAAATAAAGGGGTTTGATAGACACAAGCTTGCATGTTCCCTCTCAGCAGTGTGCTGAAGTGCATGCCGTGCTCGAGGCCCTGTCACCTTTCTCCTTTGTCACCAGGTCATCTTGGGACTTAACTGTTCTTCACCCTGGAAAATTGTGACTGTGAACAGCATCGTGCTTGTTCGGCTCTGTTTAAATACTGAAATGCTGAAAGTTTCTGTTCTAATCTTTAGATATAAGACAAAATTAAATATATTCCTATGTAATAACAATATTAAAATGATTTTGGAGCATAATATGAACAGAAAATAAGTAGAAAATAAAAGTATTAATAAAAATAAAGCAGTTTGATGATTGCACTTTGATTTGTGTGAATAAAATGGGGGACCATTTTTGGGGACACTGGGGGTTAGAGACTCATCCTTTTCATGTAGATATCTCATAATATTTCTTTATTTATTCTGGAAGTTAATATTTATCTATTGGTATATGAAAAAGTTCATAGTTTTGGATAGCAAATACTTTTTCTTCCCCACGAGACAGGGTTTCTCTATGTAGCCCTGGCTCTTCTGGAACTTGCTTTGTAGACCAGGCTGGTCTTGCACTCGTAGAGATCCACCTGCCTCTGCCTTCAGATTCCTGGATTAAAGGCATGTGCCACCATTGCCTGACAGCAAATATATTTTTCAAGTTTAATCTTATAAAGATTACTTTTATTGTTGTTTTTTTAAATAATGCACTTGCTACAAAAGTTTTGTTATCAGTTATCATTTATTACAGAAACCCAGGAGTCAGTAGATTTTACGGACTCTTAATTAGCATGTTTTTATTTTTCTTAATCTACCTAAATATGTTTTGAAATACATGTTCATGGGTATATTTCTATATGTGTAATCTTTTGGAAATATATTCTTTTTCTTTGGTCTTAATACTTAGACAGATTCTTATTCTGCTTCTGTCCAGATTCAGAGTCTCTGAATTGATCATTGCTTTTGGTATGGGACAGTACAGTTGTTTGCATTTGCCATTTTCTGTGAGATTCTTTCACGTTCAAGTTCAGGTTGTTCATCTGTGACATTCATCTGTCAGTGTTCTTTTTGATCCTTATTGCAAATTATATGGAATATAAAATTTTAATTTTCTGTCCTTTTGTGCTTTATTATTGCTGCCTAGCACTCCTGTTTCATTGCCCCTGACATAACTGGACTCCCGACGATCCCGGAGAGTGTAAGTGTCAGTGAATTCTTCTAAAATGTCTTCATCTTACAAATGTTAACTTTGTTCCCACTGTTTCTCTGCAGAGAAATTAGGAAAGAGTAAGGAACCAGGGTGACTTCTCCTTTTCTTCCCATGTGTCTATCCTACTATTCCTTCTGTAATGCCCGTGCTGATGAGGAGAAAAGAATGTCTGCCACTGGCATGGTTGGATAGGGCCTCCACACCTAGGTAGCTCTTGAGTTTGGCTGTCTGAGTGTGAGGGGGTGTAGAGGTGTGGCTTCTCCTAGTAGGGAACAAAGATTGCAGGAAAATGTGCCACTTTATAGTTATTTTAGTAAATGGATCATTAAGTTTTAGACGTCTTCTCTGTAGCTTTGTTTAAATCTTAGTGTCTCAGTTGTTGATTTCCTGGTTTTAATTTAATGCAGTAGGCATTTTATTAGAATTGAAGATATTGTAAAAAGTAATAATGCTATACCGGAAATACTTTGTTTTTCTTGAGAGTTATCCAAGTTAGTACTTCTTGTCTAAGCTTTCATGGATAAGTGGAAATGCTGGATGTACTGCCATGCCATTTGATAACTGTAGGAAAAGGAAGATACCCACTTCGGTTTCTCTTAGAACATTAAAATAAATCAGTTATAAACCATCAAATCAATGGAAAATTACTAGAAGATTTCCTTCAGATATTCTTGTATGTATTTCAGATGTGCACTGTTTTTCCATATAGTTTTCAAATCATTATAACATTTACTTTCTCAAACGGAAATAGTGATTGGCAATTATAAATATGTAAATTTCTCATAATGACATCTTGAAATTTGCGGGCAAATGGATGGATCTAGAAAACATCATATTGAGTGAGGTAATCCTGACCCAGAAAGACAATTATCACATGTACTCACTCATAAGTGGTTTTTAAACATAAAGCAAAGAAAACCAGCGTACAAATCACAACCCCAGAGAACCTAGACAACAATGAGGACCCTAAGAGAGACATACATGTATCTAATCTACATAGGAAGTAGAAAAAGATAAGATCTCCTAAGTAAATTAGGAGCATGGGGACCATGGGAGAGAGTTGAAGGGGAGGGGAGAGGAAGGGAGAGGAACAGAGAAAAATGTATAGCTCAAAACAAATGTAAATTTTCCTTGTGTTTTCATATGTATGGATAGCCATGTGATTGTATACATGTGTATGCACACACATGAGTACATGAGGAGACTGGAGGTCAGCAGTGGTGTCCTGTCATTTTCCACCTTGTTTTGTGAGAAAGGTTGGCGCTGGAGCTTATTGGTCTTTCCTGAAGTCTTACCTGGCTTACCTCTCAAGCGCTAGGATTAAAGAAACTGGGGATCTCAAGTCAGGTCTTCATGCTCATGTGGCAAGTGTTTACAAGTTCAGCCATCTCCCAAGCCCCCAGTTGTAAACTTTCTGATCAATCAAGACTATCAAATTAAAACTCTGTAAACATCCAATGCCATGAATTCCACTGAAAGGGTTTTTCAGATAAGTTCTATCAAAAGACTTTGCATACTTGATTGTACACTATGGCTCAGGTCTCATGATGAATCCCTGACCTTTGTACCTGATGGACATGGGATCATGACTCAGATGTCCATGACCTTGTCACTCAGAAGTCTCATACAGAGTTACTCTCTTTTTTCTTTCTAGTTACATTCACTAGCAAATGACTACTAGTTTCCATTTTATTTTTAATTTTGAACACATCGAGAAGTGGGGATGGGGGAGACGGGAGTGATGGAGAAGAAGACTGACAGAAAGAGGGCGAGACAGAGAGAGAGTATGAATGAGTGAATTTGTGTAGGGTAGATGTCGCTTATGAGATTTAATCCTCTGCTTCCACCATCTGGGTCCCAGTGATTGAAATAGGTCATCAGGCTTCAAGGCAAGTGCCGCTACCTGCTAAGCTATCTTGAGAGCTTGAGTTTCATCTTTAGAGACTATCATTTTCCACTATTTAAAGAAGCAAACATCCCATCAAACACCGACTACTGAGAACATAGAAGAATAAAGTTTTTTGTTATCACTGACATACTTCCCATTGTCCTGCTGAGAGAAACAGAATAGAAGCATCTGGCAGTGCTGGGTGCTGGGTGGCAGTTCTCCACTTCGGGATGTTTTTGTGATGACGAAAGTAGCTCTATTTCATGTTCTGAAGGTAATGTTGTAATGGAGTGGAGTCGGGAGGTAAAGGGAGCTTCAGAGACAGTGGGAAGTGAGCCTCTCCCCACCAGGCTGAATACCACTCACTGAAACTTCAGATTTTACTCATTTGAGATGCTATGATTGACAGTTTGTCTTGTAAGATCCCTGCCTTTTACAAGTTGAAGAAACAGGCAGATTTCTTACATTCTTGCCCCCATACCCCAACTCAGCCTTTTAGATGTTTGCCCACTACACTCTATACTTTCTGTGCATTAGAATATTTGCTTTCTAAAATGCTTAAGGTTTTTATTTTTTTAAACAGTAAGTTGAAAGTAATTCCTGAGGATGGGTCCTAAGTAGCACTGACCCTGCTTTGTTTTTTTTTTTTTTTGCATTTAAAACAATTTTATGCAAGATCCAAATTGTATATAGCTCACATTTATGCTTCTAAGCCAATAGAAGCTCACATATGTTCTACATTGACAGTTTACCAATTTCATGTGGGGGTGGGCGCTGAGGAGTCAGTTATGACTGGAGGAGAGAAAGAAGACCAGTTGACAAGGCCCCAGAGGACTCGGGGGGAGAATTTGGCCTTATAATTCCTCATTTGGATACTGTTTCTTTGTGTCCTGCTTTGTTTTATAGTGGAAGTCTAACATGTATTAAATTGAGGAATCGATTTAGAGTATCATGGTTATATTTGATTATAGTAACAAAAAGGAAGCCTAAAGAGGGATAAAACCTATAGATTTTCTTAACCCAATTAAAAAATGGGGCACTGAACTGAACAGAGAATTCTCAACAGAAGAAGTTCAAATGGCCAAAAGACACTTAAGGTCATGCTCAACCTCCTTAGCGATCAGGGAAATGCAAATCAAAACAACTTTGAGATATCATCTTACACCTGTCAGAATGGCTAAAATCAAAAACTCCAATGATAGCCTTTGCTGGAGAGGCTGTGGAGGAAGGGGTACCCTCATCCATTGCTGGTGGGAATGCAATCTTGTGCAACCACTTTGGAAATCAGTGTTTCGGTTTCTCAGGAAATTCGGGATCAACCTACCCCTGGACCCAGCAATACCACTCCTGGGAGATTTTCTTTAATAAGGAAACAAAGGATGGTTTATAAACCCTCTCCTCCACTGGTTGCCTAGGCACTGGAGAGGCAATGATAAACTTGAAGTAATTGAAATGTATTTTTCCAGAGTAGCAGTTTTACAAAAATCAGTATATATGTGAATCACCAGCGGTATTTGGTTAAAACTGGGGTTCCTGGATACATGCTCTAAAGATAATAGTTAAGTAGGCTTCGGCTCGAGCTGGGAAAATGGTGGTGTGCTGAGAGAGACTGAAGTGTGGAATCCATCCTGTGCTCATGTTTGAGAAATACTTGTGTAGAACAGGCAATGTTTTAAATGATGGTAGAATGTGGCATGCTATGTGGCAGCCGATGAGTATCACTTTTAATTATCTTTAACGAATGCCACTTCTAATAATATCTTCTTTTGAACTTTACAACTGGTAAACCTATAAAACATTTTCCCTCATATTCCTGTGAACTGTAACTCAAACAGTTCTTTTCTCTTGTGCAGAGAAACCTGACAGAGTACTTCGTTGCCGTGGACGTGAACAACATGCTGCGGTTGTACGCCAGCATGTTGCACGAGAGGCGCATCATTATTACCTCGAGCAAATTAAGCACTGTAAGTCTTCACACTTCCTCCCGTGACTAACACATATTGAGTGCTTCACAAAAAGACCTGAAAACGGCTGCAGATTTAGAGCTGTGCTGCATGTACTTAAAAGACAATATCTACATATTTTTAATATATGGTTTTAATCTGGCTCTTGAAGTATAAAAGTCTGATTTATAGAAGCCTTTGCAGATGCATTAAGTCAGGTTAATTATTTTCCCTTATCAGGAGATGAGGTGTTCTACTCCCCTTTTTTAAAGTCTCTGGAGTTCATTTTAGTGCCTTCATCACACAGAGAACTCTTGAGAGCTATTATGAGGTCTTTATTATTCACTTGTGGCTTTTTCCATTGGAGCTACTCGAAGGAAACTGCGGGCCCATGATAATAGCTGCTCTCTTAACCTGGTAATAGCAGATTCATCTTTGTTGCCTTATGGGGCTTAGGAGTATATTCTATAATAATTCTGGTTTGGAGGAGCTCTTCAGGCTGCTAATAACTTAAAAGTCAAAGTAGCATTTTTATAAATCACAGGTTTTATGGCAGTCATTTCAGTATTCTTCTGGAAGCTCTTCATCACTGTGGGAAAGGCAGGAATAGAAAGGACTGTTCTTAGGTCATAGAAGAATATTCAGAAGTATTTTGCGAGAGTTCCTGTTTTTCTTTATTAAATGTAAAATTTAAGTATTTTCAGATTCAAAATGTGTAAAACAAATTAGGCGATTTGAGTAATCTGTGATATATTAAAACCATATTAAATTGTTTCTTCATAAATTTACTTCATATAAAATAAAAATCTACTTTTAACATTTTATTCTCTTATAATAGGAATAAAATTCTTTTAAAATATTGTAGCATTTTAGACTAGATAGAGTTCTAAGGTTTTCAACTTAGTGTTTAGTCATAAGGAAGGTATTTTGTTGGTCTGGAGAGATGGCTCAGTGGTTTAGAGCACTTCCTATACATACAGAGGGTTGGGGCTTGGTCCTAGTATTTGTATGGTGGCTTACAGTGGTATGTAACGTCAGATTTAGGGTCTCTGATGCCCTCTTTTGGCCTCTATGGGCACAAAGCACACATGTAGTACACACACAGACGTGCATGAAAACTTCATAAGCATAAAATATATAAAAAAAGCAAAAAATAACCCAAAAAACAAGAGTTTTCAGAGAAGTGAAATCACCAACCCAAGACGAAAAAGCTGTTGGAGAGCCACAGTGTGAGACAAAACAGGTCCTGACTCCTTGTATGGTGACTCCTTGTATGGGGCCACACCTGTCACCCTAGCTATCAAGTATATAAGATTGTTATGTTCATTATTTTCCAAATTGAAAATGTTTATCTTGAGAATAATTAGATTTTAAAGATATTATATGATTTTAAAGATATTTAAAGATAGATATGAGGCGATATACCACAGCATAAGTACTAATGACTTGCTCCAGTAATTATTTTATCTCACGAGTTTTAAAGAGCCGTTGAAGAATCCACCTGAATGATTTGGGTGGGGTTTTAATGTTTTCCTCTTCCACTCAGAGTTTGCCATTTCATCCTCCTAAAAATTTTCAAGATTTTACAGCATTTCCAATGGGAGTCATTCTCATGACAAAGAATAGGAAGTAATTCATGTGTATAATGTTGGTGTGTGGCCCTTTCCTAGGCACTATAAACTCATCAGTAAGACAGCCAAGACCAGCATGTGTGCTTACATTTTACTGGTATGAAATATATAAACAGTTGGACAAATAAGCATCTATTATGCCATGGAATGTGTAGTGCTGTGTAAAAGATAAAATGCGTGTGTACAGTCGGGGAGGTGAATGGCTGGTTTTTGTTTTGTGTAAAGTGTATGTGGATGGAATGAATGCCTCTCTAGGGAGGAGGAAGTCAAACAGACTGGAGTCAAGCTGGTAGTGAGCATGTGAGGGAAGAGAAACTGCTGTTTAGGGAAACAAAACAAATCCCAATATAGGTTTATGAAAATACTAGTATCTTTCTTGGTTTTAATTTACTCTTAATGATGCAGTAACCTTTCTTTAACTTAGCTTCTTTCTTCTTCACATGTGAAATGAGAGAAAAGCTTTTTTTTTTTTTTTTGAGAAAAGCTATTTTGATATACCATGTTTGATGTTGAGATTAAGACCAGCCTGGTCTACAGAGCTAGTTCCAGGACAGGCTCCAAAACCACAGAGAAACCCTGTCTCGAAAAACCAAAAAAAAAAAAAAAAAAAAAAAAGAAGAAGAAGAAAAAAAAGAAGAGATTAAGGAGGCACACATGTGTAGGAAATGATTTACATTTGCACTGGATACATTTTTAGTGATTATTCATACAGCTTTATTGACAGTCAAGATTTATGATTTTAAGAAGTGATTTGTAACTGGGCAGTGGTGGCACATGCCTTTAATCCTAGCACTTGGGAGGCAGAGTCATCTCTGAGTTCAAGGCCAACCTGGTCTACAGAGCTAGTTCCAGGATGGGCTCCAAAGCTACAGAGAAATGAAAAAACAAGACAAACAAACAAAGAGGAATGGATTGTAATAAAGTTTGTTGTTAAACAGAATGCTTTCCTGAATTGTTTATGGCAACTCATGAAAACTAGAGGTACCATCTCTAAGTTACAGCTGTTGTTTGGCTTACTTTGGGGGCAGTGGGGCTGATAAAATAAACATATTTCAAATTTGCTTTCACAATCTCCTTAAATGGGAAAATGGCTTTGATATCTTAAACAGTTTTCTTATATATGCAGTCTGAATAAATATTACTGCAATAAATTATGTGCATAGTAACATTTGAGGTCAAGGTCTTATATCATAACATAAATTAGAAGAAAACTCTTTTTAAAAAGAGTTTAATGAAATCACTAAAACACACAAAGGAAGAATAATAATTGCCTTGGTTCATTTTACATTTTAGAATTTTCATATGCCATAGATACTTTGTTGTACTTGACATTAATGCATGAATCTGTGTTTCATAACTCCTGATTAGATTTTATATCTGTGGTCAACATTTGAATTATTATTAAGGACATATATATGATAAAGCAACTTAACACTCATAATTTTATTGTTGCTTTGTGAAATTTGTTTGCTTTGGTTATCTTTGTCAATCATTATTTTCCATGATTAAAATGAATGTCAACCTTGGACGTTGCTGGTATTTTTTCATGCTGTACTGTGGTAGCTGATCAGCCAGCTTGAGGATGACTTCCTTCACATGCTGTTTGCAGTTAAAATAATTTATACTTTTCATAAAGGTATAAACTTTATAATTAGTTTTAAGTTATATAAACAAATTATCATTTTTTTATGTTTAAGTACTTTTTAATGAGCCGTTTGCCATTTGTGGAAGTATGGTATAGTGTTAGTATTCTTATATTTTTTACATTTTTAACTTAAATGAGTTAAGACATCATCGGTTTTGCTTGGATTTTTTGATGTGTACATTGCCGATTATGCAGGATGACTTCTGCCAGTCCTAAACCAACAAGCTAGTTGATTTTGTGCATGCTGCAGGCAGGCCTCATGTTTTAAGCCCGAGTGGATCCTAGTAGAGTGGCACCACATCATAGACGGTCTCATATATTCAAAGCAGAGGAATACATCATGATGCTACACAGTTGTATTAGTTGACTTATTGCTGTTTTGTGACCGTAGATCCGGAGGACCGCTGTTTAAAGCCATGTCATGGGTTCTCAAATCAGCCAGGCATGAAGCCTTGTCATATGCCTCTGTAATTGTACCTCGCCAGAGTTCCTCTAACTAGTCAGCTGGGGCTGTGCATTTTGTCTCAAACACCCAGCTGGCCAGTATCTGACAGGAGCATTCTCATCATCCTGTCAGTAATATGTTAACTAGAGTGTACATTTATGGTTTGTAGAAGCAGGTAAAAGGGGGTGTATCTCTTTAAAGCAGATGTCTAAATGTTAGCACTATTTTGACCAACGTACAGTTGGAAAGTATCATCCTCTTAATGATGTATGCACATCATTTACAGAGAATTGATTATATATGCATATTATTTCTGGACTATTCAGAGCAAGCGGTGTGCTGTGAGTGCTGGAATTGTGTTAATAAACTGTATGTTCTTCTTTGTGATAGCTGCCTCCAGGCGTTTAAGCATATGCTTTTCTCTCACCTTCTCATTAATTCCATCAAGGGCATATGCAGAAATGCATCTTGTAATCCCCAGAAAACCAGCTATTAAACAGTGGTTTTCTAGGCTCTGACTAAAGGGAGTCCAAAGCATTTTAACATCCTCATCTGCATTGTGTGTATTCATTTTTGTCTCTTAGTGGAGCCATGTGTATCTTTATTTCACTGAAACTTAAGGCACAGAAACTCTTTTAAGAGGATGTGAAATATTTTGCAGGAAGGCATATGTGCAGGTTGGAGGAGGTTGAGGCCTTTAAATACCAGTACCTCTATTTTCCCTCTCTGAGTTACCCATTTCCCAGGGAAGTATGCAAGTCTTTCTGGCTGAGAGTTTAGCCCATTTGTCTTTTGCAAGTGTCTTCCCCAGCAGAAGATTGGTGTGATAGCCATGGAACTGTGTTAGAAATGTGTTTAGTTACCATACAGGCTCTCTCAGCTTTGCTCCTACAGTGCTGGTCACCACAAAATTGATCTTGGATTATTTTCTATATAGAACAATGGTTTAATTTTGTGCTATTGATCATACACACACACACACACACACACACACACACTGATTTTGAGGTTTGGTAGCATTTCTGTTTTGATGTGTGCCCTCAGGTTATAAACTTCCATGCAACTGACTATAGATATTGCACTCACATTTTCAAAGAGAACTCAGATTTTTCCTCAATCACTTACACTATTTAGGACTGATTTGGCAAATGGCCTCACCCACTCATGCATCTTCCCCAGCACAGACCTATAGATTCTGCTTCTGTAATTCTTTTTCTCCCCTGCTCTCCATTCTAGCTGCCCATCGTGTTACCTGAGGAAACTGTCACTACCCACGAACATTCCCTTTAACAGTATGTAG